AACCGGGATTTTGGGAAACTTGGGGATTTTAGGGAATTTTTGGGAATTTTCCTCAATTTTTTATGATTTTTTTCCGATTTTTTTTCAATTTTTTTCGAATTATTTTCAATTTTTTTTTCTTTTTCCACTTCTTCAGATTTTTTTTTTCTTCAATTTTTTTCAAATTTTATTAAATTTTAATTTTTATTTATATAATATATATAATAAATGTTCTTGGGGTGGATTTTTTTCCCCCATTTTTTCCCATTTTTTCTAATTTTTTTTTCATTTTTTTCCTATTTTTTCAATATTTTTTCAAAATTTTTTTGGAATCTTTTTCAATTTTTTTTCCTTTTTTTTATTTTTCTTCAGTATTTTTAAATTTTTTTTCAAGTTTATTTTTTTTAATATTTTGGGATTTTTTTTTTCCTAATATTTTTTGGGATTTTTTTATTTTCAAATTTTATCATTTTTTTTCCTTTATTTTCTGATCTTTTTCTAATTTTTTTCAAGATTTTTTTCCACTTTTTTCGGTTTTTTTTTCAATTTTTCTTCAATTTTTTTCAAATTTTTATAAATTCATTTTTTTAAATGTTTTTGGGGTTTTATTTCAAATTTTTTTCTTATTACTTTCAATTTTTGTTTTCTATTTTTTCAAATTTTTCCATTTTTAAATTTTTTTTATTTTTTCTAATTTTTTCCAATTTTTAAATTTTTTTCTTAAATTATTTTAATATTTTTTCCAATTTTTTAAAATGTTTTTGTGATTTTTTTTTCCAATTTTTTCCTGTTTTTTTAATATTTATAATTTTTTTTTCTACTTTTAGGGGTTTTTTATTTTTTTCTTGGTTTTCTTTTGAGAGTTTTAAAGAGTTTAAAGAGGGAAATTTTGGGGGAGTTTTTGGGGATTTTTCCATTTTTTTCTCATTAAAAAAAATTCTGATTTTTTGGTAATTTTTTTTTCTGATTTCTGTGGATTTTGGCTGAATTTTGGGTGAAATTTGGGGGATTTTGGTACATTTTTGGGTGAAATTCCTCCAGTTTTGCTGCCTTTATTCCATTTTCTTCCATTTTTGTTCCAGTCTTGGGTGAAATTCCCCATTTTTGGGTGATTTTTGGGTGAATTGCCCATTTTTGGTCTTTTTTGTTCCATTTCTGTCCCGTTTTGGGGTGAATTTCTCCGTTTTTGGTTATTTTGGGTTGAAATTCTCCCTTTTCTGTCCCATTTTTGGTCAAAATTCCCCCATTTTTTTGTTCCCTTTTCTCTGTTTTTGTTCCATTTCTACCCAATTTCCCCCATTTTTTGGGTGAAATTCCCCATTTTTGGTGATTTTGGGGTGAAATTCCCCCATTTCTTTTCTCCTGGTTTTGGGTGAAATTCCCCCAATTTTGGGTGAATTTTCTGCATTTTTCTCCCATTTCTCCCTGAAATTCCCCCGTTCTGTTCCCCTTTTCTCTGTTTTTGTTCCATTTCTGCCCAATTTCCCCATTTTTTTGGGTTCCCCATTTTTGGTGATTTTGGGGTGAAATTCCCCCATTTTTTTTTATTCCCTTTTCTGTGTTTTTGGCCCATTTTTGGCCCATTTTTGAGTGAAATTCCCCCATTTTTCAGTGAAATTCCCCCGTTCTGTTCCCCTTTTCTCTGTTTTTGTTCCATTTCTGCCCCATTTTCCCCATTTTTTTGGGTGAAATTCCCCATTTTTGGTCAAAATTCCCCCATTTTCTTATTCCCATTCCTGTGGTTTTGTTCCATTTTTATCCCATTTTTGGGTGAATTTTCCCCGTTTTTCTCCCATTTTTCGCTGAAATTCCCCCGTTCTGTTCCCCTTTTCTCTGTTTTTATTCCATTTCAGCCCAATTTCCCCCATTTTTTGGGTGAATTTCCCCATTTTTGGTGATTTTGGGGTGAAATTCCCCCATTTCTTTTCTCCTGGTTTTGGGTGAAATTCCCCCATTTTTGGGTGAATTTTCCCCGTTTTTCTCCCATTTTTCGCTGAAATTCCCCCGTTCCGGGTCCCCTCTGTGCGTTTCTGCCCCATTTCCGCCCAATTTCCCCCATTTTTTGGCTGAAATTCCCCATTTTTGCCCGTTTTCCCCCATTCCAGGCTCCGCTGGGAGGAGTCGATGCTGCAGCGCCTTGGCGCCCCCTGGCGGCCGCGGCGCCCGCGGGGGGCGGGGCCTGGCCTCGATGACGTCACCAACTTCGGGGCTTTCCCCGCCCTCCTGGGATCGGCCAATCAGGTGCGAGGGGGGCGGGGCTTGGGGGGAGAAAAGGCGGGAAAATGAAAAATTGGGGATTTTGGGGCTGAATTTGGGGATTTTGGGGGCGAATTTTGGGGTCAAATTTTGGGGTTAATTTTTGGGGGGTTTTGGGCTGAGTTTGGGCGGTTTTGGGATCAATTTTGGGGGATTTTTGGGATTAATTTTGGGGATTTTTGGGATTAATTTTGGGGAGTTTTGGGTTGAATTTGGAGAATTTTGGGATCAATTTTTGGGGAGTTTTGGGGCAATTTTGGGGTGAATTTGGAGAATTTTAGGATCAATTTTTGGGGAATATTTGGGGGATTTGGGGCAAAATTTGGGATTAATTTTGGGGAATTTTGGGCTGAATTTGGGAAATTTTGGGATCAATTTTGGGATCAATTTTTGAGGAATTTTTGGGGAATTTTGGGCTGAATTCGGGGAATTTTAGGATCAATTTTTGGGGCATTTTTGGGGGATTTTGGGCTGAATTCGGGGAATTTTAGGATCAATTTTCGAGGCTTTTTGGGATCGATTTTTGGGGAAATTTTGGGGAATTTTTGGCATAATTTGGGATTAATTTTGGGGAATTTTGGTCTGATTTTGGGATTAATTTTGGGGAAATTTGGGATCCATTTTGGGGGATTTTTGGGATGAATTTGGGGCATTTTGGGATCGATTTTTGGGGAATTTTGGGATACAATTTTTGGGGATTTTTGGGCTGAATTTAGGGAATTTTAGGATCAATTTTTTGGGAATTTTGGGCTGAATTTGGGGAATTTTAGGATCAATTTTTGGGGAATTTTTGCGGGATTTTGGGCTGAATTTGGGATTAATTTTGGAGAATTTTAGGATCCATTTTGAGGGATTTTTGTGCTGAATTTGGGGAATATTTGGGATCAATTTTAGGATCAATTTTTGGGGATTTTTCAGCTGAATTTGGGGGATTTTGGGATCAATTTTTGGGGAATTTTGGGGTGAATTTGGGATTAATTTTGGAGAATTTTGGGATCAATTTTGGGGAGATTTTTGGGTGAATTTGGGATAATTTGGGGGAATTTTAGGATCCATTTTGGGGGATTTTTGGGCTGAATTTGGGGCATTTCGGGATCGATTTTTGGGGAATTTTGGTATTCCAATTTTAAGGGATTTTTGGGCTGAATTTGGGGCGTTTTGGGATCGATTTTAAGGGAATTTTGGGGTCAATTTTTGAGGGAATTTTGGGCTGAATTTGGGGCGTTTTGGGATCGATTTTAAGGGAATTTTGGGGTCAATTTTTGGGGATTTTTGGGCTGAATTTGGGGCGTTTTGGGCCCCAGGATTCGTCGGAGCCGCCGCCGAAAAAGAAGAAAAAACAAAAAACGGCCAAGAAAAAAGGGAGGAGGGGTGAGTCCAGTCCAAACCAGTTCAAACCAGTA